GCACCTGTGGCTCAGTGAGTAGGGCACCAACCCCATATACCGAGGGTGGTGGGTTTGAACCCAGCCCCAGCCAAGCTGCAACAAAAATATAGCTGGGTATTATGGTGGGCGCCTGTAGTCCCAGCTACTCAGGAGGCTGAGGCAAGAAAATCGCCTAAGCCCAAGAGCTGGAGGTTGCTGTGAGCTGTGACACCACAGCACTCTACTAAGGGCAACAAAGTGAGACTCTATCTCAAAAAAAAGGTAAAAGGGGAAAATGAGGAAGAATAAAACTAATGACATCAGGAAGTTTAGGGACAAACACGATGGCCCAAGGTGCTTATCTACTTGCAGATCAGACCCTTTGCACCATTTTGAGCGTCAGTGACTGTGATTCCCACTACTGAGTACATTATAGTCATTTTGGCTGCTATGGCACTGTCCATAGCTGCCACCTGAGAGGCTATGCCAAGATTTGAGAGGCTTGGCCTCTCACAGCCAAGAATGCGAGCTGTAACAATGGGGCATATCCACTTCTGCCTATTACCTAAGCTATCAAAGCCCCAGTGAGTTATTTAACAAAAGCCATACTGCATGCAGAGTGCAGAATTGCACATCCCTTTGTTATTTCAGGACTTGATACAAAACACCCTATTACAATGCAAAAGCCCAATTTGGCTAGTCAAAAAGGCCTTCAGGGCATAAAGACTAACAATAGATAACTTTAGGCTGAATGCCAAGGCCACCTAGGTGGGATGACAAAAATATATCCAAGCTACAGTTGGCCAACATTGTTGGCCTGTCTGCACTCACTAATAAAAAGGAGGCCCAACAACAGGCCTCTTTGATGATACCAATGACAAGTTTATCTCCGTAGATGCAGACCAGGGACACTGGAGATAGTATGGATAATTTTGGCCACCTTAGACAAGACAACCCACAAAGTTGCCAACTTTGAATGGGGTGCTTGGAAGCCATTCAACAAGCTGTGCCCCAGGCACTGCCTTTGAAAGCCTTATGGAATTACAAATGTTTGCAGCTGCACACATGCTGAGCGGAATCTCTGGAAATAAAAAACTGCCACTGGAGAGTACCAGCCTCTCAGATTTTGGAGATATAAGTTGTCTGAGTCAGCCACCAGAAATGGATCTTTTGAATGGCAACTTTTTGCTTGCTACTGGGCACTGGTGAAAACTGAACATCTTATTGCCAGAATGACACATATGACACTGTGACTTGAACTGCCATTCCCACCTGGGTGCTTACAAACCTCACCAATACAACTGGACAGGTCCAACAGAGTCTGATTATCAAATGGAAGTGGCACCTTCAAGATAGGGCCCTAACCAGGCCTCCAAAAGACCAGAAGGGACAAAGCATGCTGTAGAACTATGGTCTCCAACCCCCAAGCCATGGACTGGTACTACTAGTCCATGGCCTGTTAGGAACCAGGCAGGAGGTGAAGGGAGGGTGAGTGAGCAAAGCTTCATCTGTATTTATAGCCACTCCCAATCACTCACGTCACTGCCTGAGCCCCGCCTCCTATTAGATCAACAGCAGCCTTTGATGCTCATAGGAGAACAATAAACTGCACATGCAAGGGATCTAGGCTGTACGCTCCTTATGAGAATCCAATGCCTGGTGATCTGAGGTGGAGCTGAGGTTCTACAGTGGGGGAGCAGCTGTGAATACAGATTATACTTAGCAGGGAGGTTTGACAGCACGGAGACCGTAATAAATCAGTTGCCTGCAGAGTCATATCAAAACCACCACTTCCCACCCCCACTCTTCAGTCTATGGAGAAATTATCTTCCATGAACCTGGTCCCTGGTGCCAAAAAGGTTGGGGAATGCTGCCGTAGGGGATGCTTTGGCTCCTCCTGTGTCTACCTGGAGCCCCCCAAGACTCAAGATGTCCCTCCTGACAGTTTGACATAATCTACTGATGAGACTGGGAAACTACTAGCAGACAAGGGCCATTGAGCTGCAGCTGCCATGTGGTCAGTGTAACTGAAACTGGACATGGATATTCTGCCCAGTGGGACCTAACTACACACAGTGGTGATGCCCACGCCACCCACTCCAGCTCTTAATACATATTTTTTGAACATATGAGCTGTTTTCCAACGGCCTTGCCCTTAGATTAGGAAAATGACAACTGTGTGACTGGACTATTAAAGAACCTCTGTGTGGGAACAAGGACTGTGGCAGCAGCTTGCCAATATATGTCTATCACATGGGTGCTGAGACTATTATGGCCACCCTTGAGAGGACTTGATGTCATCTTTTTGGATACTCACAGGATGACTTCACTCTGATCAAAGAACAACTTCACTCTGCCCATGGAACACGATGGATTTCCCTTGTACCCTGTCATCCACAGACCAGGGCAGCCCCTGAATGATGGAACAGCAGCCTCACACAGTCACTGGAGACAGAACATAGGGACAGCCTCCTAGTGGGGCACACCCCGTCTGACTAGGGCAGTGTGGACACTGGCTTCCAGTGCTGGGGAAACATGGCACTGCAGGCATGCTGAGAACACTGAGTGTGGTAGGTGTGGAACCTGATTAGGCTGCACCTGCAAAATTCCAGCGTCAGCACCTTCAGCCACTCTTTATTCCCTTTTCTCATTACAGTGCATTTCCTGGGGAAAGAAGGGCCGGAAACTGGACCTCCATAGTACCCAGACAGCACCCCCTAAATCTAATCTGCAAGTAAAGCTTCCCTACCTGCTTCCCCTTGAGTTCCCACAGGGATAAGGAATGGGACTGAGGAATACCAGGATGGTAATGTCCCTCTATTGGCACTATCTGATCCTTCCATTCAAGTAGGTGACATTTTCAGACATGCCCTATGTTTATAGGATGTTTCTCTGCTTTCTAGACTGGAGGAAAGAGTCTAAAAGGTCTGGGTCAAGCAACAAGGGCAATGGTGTCCCCAGAAGCAGCAACCTCTGGACTGGGTGCTACCCCAATCAGAATCACCCTTCGACATCCAATGGACAGGGAACACATGAGACTCAAGAGAGAGTGGGTACTGGGGCACCCACCTGAGAGTCTGCTTTCTCTATGGGACATGGCAGCAGAGGCCTGGAGGCATAACGCCTTCTTTAGATTCTCCCAAGCAGGGACCACCACATGTACCCTGATGAGATGTTGGATCTGCCACCCCAGACATTGTTATCTCATGAACCACACTGGCCCTCTTATCCTGCTCGTGGTAAATTTTACCAGCATTCTTAACGCCACAGTATATACCTGGAGAACCCAAGCCTTGGCTTACTGAGGATCCAGCACTAGCCTCATGAAAGGAAGCCAGAGGTGCCCTGTGTTAACTGGCCCAAGGTAGCAAAATGTCATGACCATCACTAACAAAACCTCAGTGGGCTGGTACTTCAACACACTACTTTCCTTTGATTACATGGATGGGAAGTGTCCCAGTGGCAATGACAAACAAGGATTACACTAACACCAGCCCTCTCTGTAGGGGCTTAATGAACAGTATTGTATGGGGGAGCTGAGCTTATGCAACTATAACTTAGCTGGTGAAAGGCAAGACCCCCATATCCTTGAGTAGGCCGCTGAAACACAAAGTGGAGAAAGGGTGCAGTATACACACCTGAGGGCTCCCTCTTTCTCTACACGCATCCTGGAGGTAACCTAAAAACCAGGTGTGCCAGGCGGGATCCTGTGTGTTGGTGAGGTAGAAAGCAGGCAGATGGTGGAATCCTACACACTGGGCTGCAGGAGGTTCCCTTGGATAGCACCCCTGGGAATGAGATGCACCACTGGGCTAGCAACCTAAAGCTGCACATCAGGCTTTCTAGAAACAAAGCAGAAGGTGTAACTCATTCTAGCCCCGTGCTTTTATGAGACCTTTGATACCATTTAGAGGAGTCGGTGCTCATAGAATAATAATGATAAATCTGTCCCTGATCATGCCAAATATTGCATCCTCTACTGTTACCACCTTGGTAGACCAGCAGACATCCTTTAGTGCTCTTGGGAAGACTGCCCCAGGAAGGCCTGACTATCTGCTTGTGAGAGTGGTCCTGGTGAAATGTATTCGAGCAATGCCTTGAAGTTCTCAAAAATCACTGTAGAATGTGCTAGCTATATAGGAAACATCATGATCCAGAGAGGAACTGGCTGGAATCTCCCAGGCCGCGCTCCAGTCCTGCCAGAACAAAATGTCATCTCATGCTTTAATCCAGTGAGTCACGTTACCCCAGGATCTAAACTCAGCGAGGGGGAAGAGGAGAGTTGATTCCCCAGGTTCCTCAGTTCCCTCAGCTATGAAGTGGGGAACAGGAAGATGAGATTCCAACCATCCTTGGCAGCCCATGAGACTTGGGCTGCCAACTGGAATGAATGAGAAGCATCTAAAATCCCTTCCTGACTACGGCACCTAACTTGTGTGCACTTAGCCAGTGCACGGTGAGCCTACTTCCCACATACTATTTCTCCAGACCCATTAGCTTAACACACAGGCTGGTAAATGGAGTTCAGGAGCCAGCTCTGTTAATATCTGTATTTATTATTCTTTCCTCCTCTCATTAATCTTTATAGTGCATATGTTACCTAATTACATGCAGATTGTAGGGCTGGAGAAGGGGATAATCCCCGTGACATGCTCCATGTCCCCCATCCTGATGCCTATCTTAGTAGTTTCTAAACCTCAAAGCCAAGGGGGAGAAGAGTTAGTGAACGCTGGGGTAGGTTTAATAAAGGAGCAGTATGTGCGAATGTGCAGGTGAATTCTAGCCCCCATTGGTAACTGTGAAGTCCCCATTCTCCTGTGTACATGGGGACATTTCAATGTGGACATATACCTCCTACTGATTAGTGCAAAACCTTTTACACAGAGGACTTCAAACCATACTGACTAAAAAGATCATCCATGTAGAGGTCACATTTCTACACAATACTAAAAAGGGTGGTTTTCACCTTTCTTATGCCACTTAGTGCTAAGTGTCCACTGGTCTGTGACAACACATAGCCCTCTGAGTTGTCCTTGGCCTCACGTCTCCTTCAGCTTCCTGGCCCGGGGCAGCCACCTGCATGCTGCGCCCAGCAGCTTCCCACAAAGCCACAGGGTGCCCAGAGTGAGCCCCAGCAGGAACCCCAGCACGTCCAACAGGTGCCGCTCATGCCAGGGCTGCTGGAAGGCGCGGGGCTTGAGGTGCGCAGCGCCCCCTGTCTGCAGGATGTGGTCGATCCAACCCACTAGTCGCTGGGCGGGGCTCTGGGGGTGTGAGCGCCGGATGAGGCTGGCCGCCACCGCTGCGGACTTGTACCTGTTGGCAGAGACAGAGGGGCGCGTTACCGATGTGATGTCCCCAGACTGAGAATGTGTAGTTCTTTCCTATTTAATGCTCTGAAGACTGTGTGTCAAGGACAATTTATTGGTCTGACTCTGCAATAGTCCAGCTGGGTCCCCTTGAAAACTTCGACAGTGATACCCACGTGCCAAAATGCATGCTTCTTGCTAAACGTGCCAAAGTATTTAAAAGTGACTCAGTTGGCAAAGACTAGTCCCTAGCCAGGGAAGTTTACAGGAAATTACATGATATAATTATTATAAATACATGTGGACATGGAGCACCTAACTTTATGCCAGTGTCCAGACTGGAGAAAATGTCACTCTGTGCCAGGTCAGGACAAGGCCTGCACTTTCCAGCACCATCAGAGGACAGTGTTACCCATAGCTAACTTCCCAAACTGCACGCTGCGTATTTGCATCACAAGCTTAGGACTATCTAGAGCTTGCTTGAATTCTTTGCTGTCACCATCTTAAAGATCTGAAACTTTACAACAAGAAATCCTACACTTTCATTTTACACTAGGTCCCACAAATTATGAAGCCAGCCAAGATGGTGCATAATGTCTGGAGACCATCACAGCAAAGAAGGGCTCCTTCCCAGAGGACAGTGGATCATGGCCAGTTTGGGTCTGAGACTTTCAAAAATCCAGTGAACACTATGAACCTCTTCCTCTGTAAATGAACATCCACGACACACGAAATTGCAAATATATACGATTATTCTAGAGATACTGACACCTGCAACTTAATATCTGTTCTACGACTAAGAACCATGAGGCATGTGGTTTTTTTCAGTCATTCAACTGAAAGTGCTTGAGTTGCTCCTAAGATAAGCTTTGAGGATTATGTCCTTGAATTTCAATTAGTTATTTAGTCCTTCTTAGTTATAAGAAAGAGAATGTATATTTATCTCTTCACATGAGGTCATTCATTGTCCTGGATAAGCAGTTGATTTCCAGGAGGTCACTGACTCATTTTCTGTGCTCACTTGACCAAAACCCAGTAGCCACTCACATTATGGCAGGCTCTGTAGTGTAGTCATGAAGATCAATATTCTCCTCTCTTCTGGTGTAGGGGGACAGATAATAAAACATAAGCAAATGGGGTAACTAGAGACCCTAAGAAGTGTTAAGAAAGAAAAGATATAGTTGGGCTAGGAGAGAGAAGAGCCCCCCTAAGACAGTCTGAGATGAACTCTACCAACACTCGAGTTGGAGATGAGATGGGAGGTCATGGAGGAGCCTTCGGTGAAGACCAGGAAGGAGTGTTAGCCCCAAAACCAAACTCCAAAGGGGAGGAAGACTGGAGCATTTGGAGAACAGAAGGACAACTTCCTGCCTCAGCAGGAATTCCCCTGGGAGAACCCCAACTAGGAGAGCTCGCAAGGAGCCCCAGTTTGTGTAGTTTAGGTTCTCTAAACCCAAAAGGTAGAAAATTATTCTCAGCATCTAACTAAAATTGCCCTAATGTTGCTGGCAGAGGACACAGGTCAGCAGTTGGCATCATTGGCATCACACACATGCTACCTCATGTCCTAGAAAATACAGTTTTCATTGAAAACAGACCCTCACAATGTCATTAGTGCTTCTGTCTTCACTCCGCCTAATGGAGCACACCCCAGAGAGCGGCATACCTCTTGTCTTCTATGATTTGTTTCATCTTCAGAGCCAACGTCTCTGCCTTGAGCTCCTTTAACTCAACAGAGACACCAATCTTTTTGGCTTCTACTCGAACCATATTTTCAGACTGATCTCCAAAGACAGGGATGCCCACCAAGGGCACACCATGCTGGATAGCCTCCATGATGCTGTTCTGCCCGCCATGGGTGACAAACAGACGGATGCGGGGGTGAGCTGTTGCAAAGAAGAAAAGAGAGTGAAATTCAGATTGAAAAGTTTCAGAACACCAGGCAGAGCAGAGAGAGTGGAAGAAAAATTCATGGGGATCCAGGGTGTACTGGGACCATTTTTAGAATGACATGACTTGGGACACATCCAAGTAAGCAGTTCTAAGATGCAGGATTCCAAGTCTTGCCCTGGTATAGAGGCTTCGCAAAAGCCAGGTAAGTCTGGGAACCTGGGGAATTCTATTGAGAAGAGGGGTATGCAAGCTAAATATCTCTAGCCCTCCATGCCACCTCCCTGTGCCTCTCTTTCTCTAATGCCTTTTCTCTCTCCATGCTTCTTTTGCCCTCTGTCTCTACCTACCCAATCTGTCTGTCTTGAGCTCTCTGTTATCCATTGACAACAATTTCCTTTTCTTTAACTCCTGATTCATTCATTGACATTACAACTCATCACTCATAAAATATGTACTGATACAGCAGACTAAATTATGTCCGAAGCCCCTTGAAAGCAGAGACTGGACCCAACATCTCAATTTGGTGTGTTGGGCAGTCCATGTTCTGTCCCTCCATCCCAGCAGTGTTTGGAGCTAACTAAAATGATCATTATCACAAAGAATCTAAACCAATGTAGATCAGATTCTCCCTGCCTCCTCTTGGAAATGAGAATCATCAGCTCCACTTTAGAATTAAAGAAATACATTTGCAGAGTATGGACAAGGAATCTGTTTCTTAAATGTTCAGGTGATCTTAAGCCATATCTTGGTTATGGGCCTCTGCTCTGCTCAGTGCTGAGCAGGGAGGTGTCTCTGACAAGCAGTGCCAAGAGCACAGGTGACCTACTGGGAGAGAAGGAACTCTCTGGACCAGACAATTGGTGGCCAGAGAGTCAGCTGTGAGGTTGCTAAGCTTGGCACTAGGGTATGTTGGCACATCCTAAACTAATCACCGGCATCAGTGTTGTGAAGCTTGAGCTGTTCAGACCCTCCTTAGATCCAGAGGATGTATCTATGTGTCAGTGTGTGTTTGTCTAGTCACATGTGGCTGAATTGCTGCTTACAAACACTAAAAAGAGTGGCAGTATCCCCCCACCCCACCCCACCCCATGTGTAGTCTCAGAGTTCACAGGTTGTCTTGCCTTTTTGGTGACCTAGTCTAAGACTAAACGCACTGTGGTTAAGGGGACTTCACCACCTCTGCCTGCAAACATCAGGCTGGGAGTAGAGAAGAAGGCAAGGTGGCTGCCTCAGCTTCGGATCCCGTTGGAGGCACTCTGATTCCCCATACTTCAGGCCAATGACTCCTTCCTGCCATCTGCAGCCTTACCTGAACCTATAGGCAGCTCCTTCTCAGGCTAGGATGAATGCCCAGCTAGAGCTCAGGGTCCTGATGACCCCAGAGACAGGACAATGGAAAGAGAGGAGCAGGCCTGGACAGCCCTTACCCAGGAGGTCACTCTGAGGAAGCCACTCCATGAGTTTCACATTTGGGGCCACGTTGACATCTTTGGGCCAATGGGAATGCTTACATCTCCATATCACCCCTTGGGGAAGGTGGGCAAAGGCACTGTTCAGCTCTTTAAGGACTTCCTTGAAGTTATCGATGTTCACCATGGAGCCCATAGTCACAAGCACAAAACCAGAGTCCCCAAACTTGGCAATGAAGTTCTCCAAGTCCTAAAGAGAGATAACAAAGCAAAAACGCAACAACTCCTTGTGAAAGCCTCAGCTACTACAAAATGAAACTCATACTGTTCCTTACTCAGTGACATAAACTCTCATCAGTGTCTCTCACTGGTGCCTTGACCTCACCATCCTGAAACAACTATCATGGCCTCTGGGACAGCTCAGCAACCCCTGCACCATTCACCCATGTCCATTGTGTGGGTGAGAACATCTCTCTTCTTTCAAACCCTGACCCCAGCTTCAGGGCTGTTCTGTTCCTCCTCCTACTATATGTTGGGGACATTGAGGACCAGGGGTGTTGGGGACATTGTACAGAATTGGTCACTTGGGAATTTCCCAAGGCCAGACCAGAGGTGATGGTGTCTGAAAGAGCAGCAGTGCAGGGTCAGGGCCCAACATGGGGAGTAGGCTTCTAGAGGCTGGAATAGAAGGTGAGAGAACATCACTGTTGCCAGCAGAGTTGGGGGCAGAACGGAATAAGACTCCTCCTCACCCCACAAATCAGTCAGTGCTTACACATCCCATGTTCCAGCCACTGACCTTGGCACGTATTTTATCCTCCACCTCAGTGCTTCACCCCATGACTGCAAATGATAACCACATGGGAAGGTTTGTACAAAGCAGCAATGCCCAGACCCAAAGGCAAACCTGAGCAGGATGGATCTTCCAGGCCCCTGGTGGTTCTTAAGGAAGGTTGTCTCTACTGTCCGCACTGTAGCTTTAACACATTTTGTCAATTCTTGCTTCCAAACGTTTCTTCCACCCTGATTCGCTCTGCACATCAGCAGCTCCCCCAGCTCGCGCTCTAGGAGTCCAGCCTCTAGTGGATTCTGCCCAGCACATCACTGTCTGATTGACCATTGTAAAAGAGCACTTTAAAACGGCCTTGTCACCCTTTCTCTAACTACAAAATCAACTGTAACCCCCTGTATAAAAATTGGAAAATGCAGAGAAGAAAAATGTTCTTTAGAAAAAGCACGTGCTGTCTCACAAACATTCCAGCCCTTTCCTGTCTTTATCATCCTCAAAATTCCTTCCCCCTGCTCTGTGGCCCAGGCCTGCCCCACCCTCCTGACAGCAAAAGCCTCTAAGCCAGCTAAATTCCCAGGGCTTCACTTGAGTAATAGTCCAGTGATGCCACAGCTGCCCAGGGGCCCCAGACCCAGGGCCATCTCACTTCCACCTCCTCACTGGGCTCTGCTATCCCTGCCTGGGGGGCGGCCCTCCCAACTCCTCTCCTTAAAGCTCCTGCCATCAACACAAGGCTGATCTCTCCCAGGATCGCTCCCCAGCTCTTCCTGCTCACTCAGTGTGCGGTGGTGCAGAAGAAGCCACTTTGGTGCCTTTAAGTCCCAGGGCAAGTCCAGGCCCTCGGAACCTCTCAATTGCATGGTGCTGGAAAGATCACTTACATCACCTGATTCCATGTCTCATTTATAAAAATGGAGAGGACAACACCTATGAGGGTAGGATGTTATACATGATAACTTCTGCATAGTGGCAACCCAGCTCTCACAGGCAACAAGCAACTAACTAGTCTTAGCTCTCCTCCTTTCTAGAACATTCTACAGCAATGGCTCTGAGTCTAAGCTGCATAATCACCAAGGCAAGGTTCACAAATAACAGTGGCTTGTGCCCACCCCAGACAAATCAGGTCAGAAGGTCTAGGTGGAGACACGAGCCTCACTCTCTAGGCAAGAGACACTGGAATGACAACTGCTATTCTAGCTGTCACTCAGCCCCGTATACTCAGCATTGTGACAATACAACTCTCATAGTATTGTCAGTCAGTAACTCATCTCCTGAAATATTTATACATGTACTGAGCACCAACTGCATATTTACTCTGCACACGGCTACACAAAATGCAAATGAAAATAGTAGCTTTCACAAAGTGCTCATTGCACTGAGGCCAGGAATACACTGAGGCAGGGGAGGACCCGTGGGTGGAGCCCTCAATCCCAGGCCCCTGCGGGGCCACACACTGCATTTGCACAGCCCTGGGGGGAGAACCTCCTTACACAGCAGGCCCTAGTGCCTCCCTGCCCAGCCCTGGCCCTGTCTGAGGACACCCGACTTCCCCACCCCCGCAGGGGGCAGCCAGCAACCATGTGCTAAAAGCCTTGGCCTGAATTCTAAGTTGAGAGCTAAGGGTTTACTTACTTGTGGTACTGGTTTAGTAGGTTTGGCCATTAAGCCTCCAACATAGACAGTGTTGGGAAGTAGGGGCCGGGCAAAATCAAAGGCAAAGTCAGAGTTAACAAACCACAGCTCTGCTTTCAGTAGAAGATGAGATAAAACCGGCCTCGAGCCTTCTGGGAAGTGCTCCTTGATGGTGTTGTCAAACATAGACTGAACTTGCCATTGTCGCCTGGAGAAAGTGAAGAAAGTCACAAAGTTCCTCACTCGGCCCCAGAAGTCCATGTGGTCAGTTAACAAGGAACTGTACACTGGAACATAAGACAAGGGACTTGGTAGCCCAAAGTCCAAAATGGCAAATGAGGTGGTGAGAATGGACACAAATGGCTTCCGAAGCTTCTCAGTGATCAGGAAAGGACAGTAGTCAAAACTTTCAATTATCACCAGTTCGAAGTTCTCATTCTCTAAGGAATCCATGATATCCCTTCTGCTTAGCAAATGACTGCACTGAAACCCCAGTTGTTCCTTCACCTTCAATAAGTTTTCAAATATTCCTCTGTCACAAAGAAAATGCATGATTAATATTTATATAAAGTATTACATTCACATTATATGAAAGAATTTTGAGACACAAAGGAAATATTCCAGGGAAGCAAGAACTTATCTAGCAGGGCCCACACATTCAACCAGGTTCCCCCCAATACCCTCGTCCATGGTCATTCTGGTTCAAATGTTTCTGCTCTCTCAAGTATACCTTTCTCCCCTCTGCTTCACGCGGATCCAAATCCCATCCATCATCAATACCAATTCAAAGCCTTTCTGCTCTGGATGTCGTCTCTGACTATAGTAGATGTCAGAGTTCTGTGTCTCCTTGATAAATTCCATGGTGCTCTGTTTAAGCCTCCTTATTATATACTAACTATTTATGCAATTATCTTGCTTACTCATCTAAACCTGGGAAACTCCATGATAGTTTATCAATATTGACGACATATGGGTTTTTTAAATGATTATGTGTTTGTATATGAAATGTTGCCTTACCCAGGAAACACTTTGGTCATACACGTATTAGCACCAAAAATCTTAGCTAAAAATGAGAATTTCAACGTTCTATATCTAAAAGGTAACAGAAAAAGCAAAAACTAAAAACAATCTTGTTTTGAAACACATTATTAGCCTTCCCGCCTCAATGCACATTGCAGTATTCAGAGAAGAAAACACCAAACTTTTGTGATAATTGAGACTTGTCTATGCTGTTACTCCAGGGACCTTTCTTCCTACAATGCTTTTCCATCATTCCATACAAATAATATGATTCTGTTTTAGAGCACGCTAAGGAAATAAAGGAGGATGCCCAAGCCAGTCATAGATGTCAGGGCTCTAGATATCAGGGGCCTGCTAGCTGCTTACAAGACAGAGAAAACCAATGCCCTGGTACACCTATAACCTGTACATCACTGCACCACTGCCCTTCAGTTTCAGAATCCCCTGAAGATCTGAATTTATTAGATACAAGTGGATCTTTGCCTACCCTTTAAGACCAGCTTCAAGTCAAACAGTGAAAGTCATTGGCTAAAATCATCCTCTGTTGTGTATTTTTAAACATTTGTATAACCAAGGAATGATTGCCAAATATTTGGGATAATTTCAGTAAAGTGAAAACATCTTTATAATAGATTTAATTGATTTTATTTAAAAATAAGCTATTAAATTTTAAAATGTTAGGAATTTATTATTTCTTACACCAATCCTAAGAAATATTAAACTGAGGGAGAAGAGACAAGACATTCCCTTAAAATGTATAACTCACTATGGAAAATGATATAGGCTGTGTCAAACGGGTGGGTTAGATCAGATCTATAGAGGAGGATATGTGGTCTCCCAACCCGAGTGAGGAAGAAGGCTTTGTGGAAAAATTTAGATTTGAAAATCATCTTGATTACGGAGTAGAATGTGCAAAGAAAGAAGAGAGGTCGAGCCACTATAATTAACCAAGGTAGGCATGGATTTCTCTCTTTCCTCTTTTATTTTCCCAAGATTATAATATTATTTGTTC